AGTTTTTGAAGGGTGTATCAGACATTATTTAACAACTTCCACATAGTTTTTGAACCGTGTATCAGACATTAGTTAACAACCTCCACATAGTTTTTGAAGGGTGTATCAGACATTATTTAACAACTTCCACATAGTTTTTGAACCGTGTATCAGACATTAGTTAACAACCTCCACATAGTTTTTGAAGGGTGTATCAGACATTATTTAACAACTTCCACATAGTTTTGAACCGTGTATCAGACATTATTTAACAACTTCCACATAGTTTTTGAGCCGTGTATCAGACATTAGTTAACAGCTTCCACATAGTTTTTGAGCCGTGTATTAGATATTAGTTAACAACTTCCACATAGTTTTTGAGCCGTGTATTTCTAAACTTTATATTAGATAATTAATCAAGACAGCAGTTAAGAGCTTCCTTATATTCGAATGTTAAGGAATTTCGTAGTTTTTTTAACTACGCCATAGAGTATCATGGGTTATGTTACAACAGAACGTAAATACTTTCAGTACTAATACCTTTAGTACGTAATCTTTCTTAAAATTATGCTGCAAGCTATTTTAAATCCATTACTGCTAGAAACGATCTCCGAATGTTTAATAAAATTCACGCCATAAATTCTAATACTGACAAATATTCTTCTCACGCCATTAAATCCATGCAAGACAATAAAGTATCCTAACTCTGTGATGAGCGTTTTTTGTTTTTTTTCCTCTCCTTGGTCGCATCTGAAGATTTTATAATATCTTACCTCGGGATTTTGAGATAAGATCCCATAGATGGAGTGCTTCGTGGAAAGACTGAAGATCGTTTACGCTAAAGACAAGCACGAATCCTCGGCCCGATCGAATGCTGAGTTCTCTCATGGCGGGAAAGTGGTGAGATCCGGAAGTGTCCAGTATTTCTACTGTGTGAAAAATCCCATCTATAAGGTATACAGAAATGGGTTTAGTGAGATCCAAACCTGTTGGGTGATTCTAACACGTGGGTTATTAACTTTAAGATATCTCTACTGTTTGGAGAATTTCACACAATTATAATATGATATCTTCAAGTGAGCTGTGATATACATCAGCAGAATTTTTAACTATTTCACACTTTTTCTGCAGTCTCTATTTCTTTATTATCACTACAGGAGAAGGGTGTTGTATGGTAGTATAACCATGAAAAGTACAAGTATTTTACACTGTAAATTTACAAATATTCCGAAACAAAAACACGCTAAATAGGCTTACCTTAATTATCACTTACAGAATATATAATTTATAGATTTTACTTAACAGTTAAATGATTCTACTGCAGTGTTCGGAATACCTATTTATATATGGATTGGATATTGGTAATTATCTGTTTTCTACGTGTATGCATTAAGTAATATTTAATAACTAATTTTGTCTCATTATAAATAATAGAACACAATTCTAGAATAATTTAGGGTAGTGTTTCTCAACCTTTTCGATGCCAGAGACTGACTTGCCGACTTCCTAAGCTGTAGACGATCAATAAAATGTAAGTACAACAAAAACAATCACAACTGATATGAATATTTTGTCAGTTTTTGCTTTTGTTTTCGTGGAATCCCATGGATCGCGTACCGGTAGTTGAGTTTTTTGTCGTTTTTTTTGTAATTTCGCGCAAAGCTACACGAGGGCTATCTGCGCTAGCCGTCCCTAATTTAGCAGTGTAAGACTGGAGGGAAGGCAGTTAGTCATCACCACCCACCGCCAGCTCCACCAAACATG